GTGCTCATAGGGTGCTGGAGTATTGAACATAGGGCTGGGCGATACAGCTAAAAAAGGTATCACGGTATAATGTTTCATATCGTTCAGTATCGATAATTATTGAAAATTTCTTATAACCTTTCTTAAACCGAGAGCAGTAGAAAAAAGGTTTAAATTTAACCACTGTATTTTTAATTTACCCAATTTATTAAGACAAACAACAACAACAACATTTTTAGTCTTAACAAACAAAATAACAAATAAAACCAAATAAAATTTAAACATATCTCCTTTCTTATATTTTATATGCAGATTGAATAAGTGTTAATAAAGGGGTCATATGATGCGATTTCATTTTTTACTTTCTCTTTGGAGTGTTACAAGCTCTTGGTGCATAAAGAAGATCTGTAAATTTGCAAAGACTAAAGTCTCAAATCCAAAGAGATATTCTTTATAAAAGTTAAGAGTCAGCCACGCCTACCTAAAACGGCTCATTCCATCTCCTGAGGCCACAGGAGGGAGCAATGAGCAAAATAATGCACCTCATTAAACGGTTTATTCAATGCAATGAAAATAACGGCTGCCTATAAAAAAGTACATAACATCTAAACTGACATTTATAAATCAAATATGATTTCGTAAATTGCATAAACAATTATGAACAAAACATCATCATGTATTTATGCATAGCTTAATACAAATAGCCAAAGTGCCGATCACACGGTTGCATTTAAAACACATGAGACGCAGTGGAATGGAATAAAACCCCCACAAATTCTCGAGACATGTTTTCTAAAAGTTGAACTTCTTTTAACTTTACATGGCTTTCTATTAATCATCTCTTGTGCGAGACGCGAGTGCAACAGTCATAGTTGTGTGTCTCAAGAATGCGCCGAATATGTGTTCTTGGTGAATGGCTTGGTTTCGGTTTTAACCGAGCGGCAACCTCCCGCTCTCTCTCGTGAAGCCAACAAGGAAGTGACTTAAACTGCAATTCGTCAACTGGCCGCTAGAGGCTGGCTGCAAAAGGGAGTAAATCCCATAGACTCCCCATGTTAAAATGCCCAACTTTACAGCAGAAAAAACATGTTTACAGCCTGGTTCAAAAAATAATTTTGGTCTATATAGCTAATTTTGCCCTTCATGACAACTGTGAAGGGGGTGAATTTTTTTATAACTCATCCGTTTAAATTATATTAAGCCTTAAAGTTCTGCATAATTAAGGGCGTGGCCACTTGAGTGACAGGTGGATTGCTGCTGCTGTCACCACCGTCGAGCTAGGTGGGTGTGGTTTCAGCAGCCAGCTCCCGCCTCTTTGCCCATTTTTGATTATCTGGGAGTGACGCGCGGTGACGCGCTGCCAAGATGGCGACGGCTGGCTCCGCCTACTTTAGGCTTCTTTACTTTAGGCCAATATCATCTCCACATTGAGCTTCTATATTTGCAGCAGTGGCGCATCTTGTGGTTTCAACTGGATATAAACGGGATATAACAAAAACATTAAAATGCAACAACATCATCCTCACCGCATCCTCGAATGCGATTCAACTGGATATAGATGGGATATAACAAAAACATTAAAATGCAACAATATCATCCTCACTGCATCCTCACCGCACGGCCACTGATAAGGCTCCCTGACGCACACCCTAACATTCAAATATAATTTTTTTTCATTTGAATGCAAATTTTTATTTTAAATTTGACTAAAGTTCCTTTTTTTGATTCACAGTCTCCTCATCGCACGCAGGCACGGCACTCATTCACTTCATCGTGTGTTTGTGTGTTCTGTTGGCTCTCTGCTTGTCACTCATAACACGCTCCTTTAAATGAAAAAAAAAAGCAATGAGCAAAATAATGCACCTCATTAAACGGTTTATTCAATGCAATGAAAATAACGGCTGCCTATAAAAAAGTACATAACATCTAAACTGACATTTATAAATCAAATATGATTTCGTAAATTGCATAAACAATTATGAACAAAACATCATCATGTATTTATGCATAGCTTAATACAAATAGCCAAAGTGCCGATCACACGGTTGCATTTAAAACACATGAGACGCAGTGGAATGGAATAAAACCCCCACAAATTCTCGAGACATGTTTTCTAAAAGTTGAACTTCTTTTAACTTTACATGGCTTTCTATTAATCATCTCTTGTGCGAGACGCGAGTGCAACAGTCATAGTTGTGTGTCTCAAGAATGCGCCGAATATGTGTTCTTGGTGAATGGCTTGGTTTCGGTTTTAACCGAGCGGCAACCTCCCGCTCTCTCTCGTGAAGCCAACAAGGAAGTGACTTAAACTGCAATTCGTCAACTGGCCGCTAGAGGCTGGCTGCAAAAGGGAGTAAATCCCATAGACTCCCCATGTTAAAATGCCCAACTTTACAGCAGAAAAAACATGTTTACAGCCTGGTTCAAAAAATAATTTTGGTCTATATAGCTAATTTTGCCCTTCATGACAACTGTGAAGGGGGTGAATTTTTTTATAACTCATCCGTTTAAATTATATTAAGCCTTAAAGTTCTGCATAATTAAGGGCGTGGCCACTTGAGTGACAGGTGGATTGCTGCTGCTGTCACCACCGTCGAGCTAGGTGGGTGTGGTTTCAGCAGCCAGCTCCCGCCTCTTTGCCCATTTTTGATTATCCGGGAGTGACGCGCTGCCAAGATGGCGACGGCTGGCTCCGCCTACTTTAGGCTTCTTTACTTTAGGCCAATATCATCTCCACATTGAGCTTCTATATTTGCAGCAGTGGCGCATCTTGTGGTTTCAACTGGATATAAACGGGATATAACAAAAACATTAAAATGCAACAACATCATCCTCACCGCATCCTCGAATGCGATTCAACTGGATATAGATGGGATATAACAAAAACATTAAAATGCAACAATATCATCCTCACTGCATCCTCACCGCACGGCCACTGATAAGGCTCCCTGACGCACACCCTAACATTCAAATATAATTTTTTTTCATTTGAATGCAAATTTTTATTTTAAATTTGACTAAAGTTCCTTTTTTTGATTCACAGTCTCCTCATCGCACGCAGGCACGGCACTCATTCACTTCATCGTGTGTTTGTGTGTTCTGTTGGCTCTCTGCTTGTCACTCATAACACGCTCCTTTAAATGAAAAAAAAAGCGTGAAACTATCGTGCGTTATATCAAACATTTTTTCTATCGTTATCGATGATGGTGTACCGTCGATAAATATCAATACCGTTTTATCGCCCAGGCCTAATTGAACAGTTATTTTTTTTGATATTTTTTCCACTTTATAGGCCTTGAACGGTTAAATACACAGACTTGTATGCGTCAAAATGCCCGTCTTTGCAAGTATCCTCGTAAACACAGTAAGTTAGGTCTTAAGTGAAAGCAAACAGCTGAGAAAAGCCCTATTCTGACGGGACTAGTTTTCTAAACTACATTGAGTTTCGATTCTTATCACCTAACATCTGCGATTTTCAAGTACCACTTCAGACGGGTTTAACATCTGTTTATTTTATGTCTGTTTTGTACATCTGGGCATCACAGAGATCACACGTTCTGTATGCGTGCATTGCGTATAGTCATTTGGATTGATTACCATTAGTATAATCACAGTTTTACTACAAATACCATGGTGAAGCTAAATGGCTAGTATAGCAAAACCAAGTTAATGTGTGGTTACTTTAGTTTAACTATTTTATTTTTTTATTTATTTGTAGTAAACCCATTTTTAATTTTCATAAAGGTACATATGTAATTAAAACATTATGTAATTGAGTGCAGAAATGAATGTGAGTAGCCTAATCTTACCTGATGCTGATATTACAATAGCCAGTCTTAACAGTTTACGTGATCTGGCTCTTGATTTTATTATTGTTATTTTTTTATTTCTTTGCCGGGAGGCAAATATATCAAGCATGTGTGCACACAGACGTGCATTGTGATATTGCCGGGAATCATAGACATTCGCATTCGGACGGCAATAGGTTTCTCAGAGGATCACTGAGTTTGCTAAAAACAGTAGGAATTATTTAATTTGCTCTGGAATTATTACAGAGGTTGTGTGAGAAAAACACAGACGTGGCAGATTCGGATTAAAACCACCAAGTACATCTGTGAAACACAAATTTCTCTAACGACCCCCTGTAAAACTAGTCCCGGTCCGAATAGATCTAAAGAAAACACATGTGTAACATTATATCGGATCCGGGCAGTTCTTAAAGTGACAGCAGTCTAATATTCCTGCTGAAATATGTGTAATGATACTCAGAGGTTAAGAACATGTTATCCATGGATTTGAGAATTTGGATGTGAGAGGAGAAAACAGCTACTGTGAAAAAGAGAAAAGAGTGACTCGTTAAAAAAAAAAAGTAGTAACAGTTGTGGAAATCATTAAGTTGAAAGTCGAAAGTCAACCACAAGCGTTACGTTATTAAATTGAGAGTTTTTTAAAATAAGTTATTTTTTAAATCTATCTATCTATCTATCTATCTATCTATCTATCTATCTATCTATCTATCTATCTATCGAAATAATAATCTGAAGCATACCTGAAAGGAAGTTGTTAAAGAAAACCAAGATTTTGGTCCAACATCAGCTGAAAAGTGCAGATTTTCTTTTTCTAATGTGGTTTGTACATCTAACTAAACAGAGATGGCGAGATGAGAAGACCAGAAGAGTTGTGCTGCAATTAATCACTGATGCAAAAGCACAAAGTCTTGGTGGCATGAAGACATTAAGAGAACAGACCCCAAAATCTTAGACAAAAGACATGAAAACAAAACCTGAAACCCTGTGAGCACAATAGGAGGCCTGCTCTTTTTTTCTTGGGCTGCCAAATATCATGGTCGGTAACTTGTCTGCTGATGAGAAAACTGGAAAAAAGCACAGGTCCACTCGCATTTGATTATTTTGAGCACATCTGTTTGTGTATTCAAGTGTCTTTTATATATATATATATATATATATATATATATATATGTGTGTGTGTGTGTGTGTGTTTGTGTGTGTGTGTTCTTTCAGGTGCCAGAGCAGTGGGAGAGATCTGCGGAGAGACTCACTCAAATCACAGTCGCCCTCATCAGAGACAGAAATGCTGCTCTCACTGGGCAGCTGCTTCATGCCTGAAACTGAAGCATGAGAAGATGCGTTACTGTAGACAACCAGGATGCAGCCTGTGGACTCACAAAGACAGAAGCACGGAATCTAAAAGGTCAAAGAACATTTGCAAATGAAGGCATTTCAGTATAAAATAAATTACAAACAATGAATGACGGTGGGGCTGACAGTCTGAATTGTTTGGATCAACTGATTGATTTGATTCTTTAGGTAAGATTTCAAGGTATTTAACTCCGAATTGAATTTGCCTGGTTTGCCTAGGCTCATGTACATCAGTACACAAGCACAATCAAACACCTCTCTGAATCCTTGCATATATTTGTTTGTAAAAATAAATTTAGTTTAATAAAACAAATCAAAATAACTGTATCTCTGTTTTAGCTTTTTATTTTTTTTATTTTTTAAGCTTACCTTTGGGGGCTTAATCTTGTCATTGAGAGCTTGGTCTCACATTTAGGTTGTCTCTATATTTAATAAAATGCTGCCATCTTGTGGAGGGGTATGAAAATCATAGTCACAGTTGGTAATTGTATTGATTTGACATCACAACCTAAAATCTCTTTAGTAAACTGTGAACATTTCTTTAGTTTACATTTTAAAATCATTATTATTTCTAACAGTATTTCTATTCGCGTAGAGCAGACAATCTGATTCTTGAAAAGGAAAATCTTTTCTTGAAGAGATTGTTGTGATGTGATCCATTTTATTTAAAGTTTTAGGTCAGTAGATGTTTTTTTGTAAAGAAATGTATTACTTTTAGGATTAAAAGTGACATATTTTTATGTTATATTTATATTTCAAATAAATTCTGTTCTAAACTTTCTATTCATCAAAGAATTTAAATATATTTATTTTTTCCCTAAATTTTTTAAACAAATATTAATTTCCATACATTCATTTCTTCCCTTCCTTCAAATACTAAACGCACTGTTGTCATGAATATGTTTTTTTTTTTCAGATGATGTTAAACTTGCGGTTTCCTATTACCCTGACCCTAAAAATCCTTCGCAGGCCTCCTTATGTGATGCAGATCATGAGCTCTCCAATTTATTCTTTGGGTCGACTTTACACCCACTCAACTGGGAAGGCCCTGGTGACCACATTTCATAAATTTAGCTGTTTTTATAGCTTAACCCCTGTCTGACAAAAACAGAATCCCGGACGAGCCCCCGAATTTGCCTTCTTGACTCTTTCTCCTGTGCTCACCGCAGATTGCTAATTGATTATGGCCTTGTGCTTCCTCTCCAATGAGCATGCGATAATTGTGGCGGGTTGTTAAAGTCACTTCCTGTGTCTGAGTGTTGGCTCAATGTGAAGGCTTTCTACAGGCAGACCAATCAGGAGCTTGTTCTTGCCGTTTTAGTTTCCATGGCGTGAATGGCCAACAACCCCATTTTTTTCTAACTTGACACTGTTTACTCAATCTTAGCATGTCTTGATTTATTTCTACAATTTTAGTTCTAGTGAAAATATGCAACCACTTTGGTTCTTCATTCACTCAAGCAAACAAAGTTTGTCACCTCTTGCATAACTTTTCTCGCTTAACCAAACTCTCTATTTTTTTTAGTGGTGTAATTCGTTCCACATTTCTGCATGTACACATCTGAAGGTGAGTGCGTTGGTTTTTCGGTTGCCAGTGGGGTACCGAGAGCATATCTCTGTGTGAAGTCTGAGGTTTTGACTGAGATGGATTAACCTTTCAGATGTTCAGCAACATGTCATGGACATTTCTGGAAAAACTTAAGATGGAGCAAGAGTGAGAGGATCAGGTTTACACTTTATCCTTTTGACTTTGATTGCATGGACAAAGGGGAAATGACCATATCAATATTTTTGGATGATGTCCATAGCAAGGCCAATTACAATAAAACATACACTACCATTCAAAAGTCTCACCAAGGCTGCTTTTATTTAAACAAAAATGCTGCAAAAATGAAATATTATTAGTATTCAAAACAAAACATCTATTTGAATATATTTTACAGATTTTTTACTGTGACGGCAAAGCAGACAATACTCTAGTGTCACATGATCCTTCAGAAATCATTCTAATATGCTGATTATCAATTTTGGAAATAGTTTTGCTGCTTAATATTTTTGTGGAAAACATGATACAGTGATATTTCAGGATTCTTTCATTTAAAGAGCAACGTTTATGTGAAATAGTAATATTTTGTAACATTACAAATGTGTTTACGGTCATTTTTGACTAATTTAATGCATAGTTTGCTGAGTATGAAGTATTCATTTCTTTAAAAAACAATATATAGCTATGTTTACATAGCTATAAAATAAAAAATGTGGAAAATATACCCTATCTACACTTCTGTTTAGTTATGTCATGCTTAAATTGTAGATGAGGCATTTTTGCCAGTTTGATAAAGCCAGTCACAACTGTTGAAGTCTATGAAAGATGATCACAGCCTAATATAATATTGATAGATTTTTCTGTGTTATTTATCTGGTTTTCCCCATGTTACACACCAGCATCCTCTGAGGCTGCAGTACAATGGCATGTCTGGATTAGTTTTGGACAATATGATTCATGTTAATTTGCTCGTACAGCTCTGAGAGTTCGCGTGAAACGTTCTGAGAAAACCACTAACCAGGAACAGCTGTGAAACGGTCAAGTAAGCGCTTGCCATATTTATGCATGAGAGAGGTTTCACGCGTTTTCCTCTGGCGGAGCTGCACCATGTAAAATGCATGTGGTGCTGGGGTAGCTGAGGCTTATGGCAGGGTTTTGCTCCATTCTTGATGTTCATCAGTTTCTTATGGTTTGCTTGCAGATTTTCTTGTGAATTTTTCTGGCTTGTATCATGGGGCTGGAACTTTCGAGGTTTGTAAGACCAAGACAAATTCTTCCCTCATGTTTTGAGGAAATGTTTACTGTAGCATCTTAGAAAAAGACCTTCATGTCCAGTCGGAGATTACTGGTGACTTCTGTTTTTATTTCAGTGTTTTTTTTTTTTTCATTTATAAATTATATTATTCAAAAAACACATTTCATTATTTATTATTTTTTATTATTTCATTATTTATTATTTTTTTATTATTATTAGTTCCCTTTTGTGTTAAATAACAGCATGTATTTGAGCATTTACAGGGTTCCAGATGGATGAATAGACATGGACTTCTTTGTTGCCAGAGAACAAATCAGGTGCACAACTATAAGAAATATTTACTGTTAGACAAGATATGAATGCGTTACAAAGGGGTTCATGCTATATATTATTATTTAAGCTAAATATTATTTAGGAAGAGAAACTGAGACCTGAAGCAGGCTAGACTTTTGAACACCACAGTTCTAAACCCTTTACAATTGGTTTCAACTGTAGAAAATATAATGACGATACGTTTTGATACAAATGTGAAGGAGCTTCTTTTGCTTGATGTTTCTGAATGAAACTTGAGTATCAGTGTAAGCTGAAGAGAGGTGAACCTTTTTCTCAAATATGCCTTGTGGTCTGTTCAGTTGCCTCCTACTGGTTTTCAAAGATGATTAATGACCGAACATCACTCAAATTCAGCACCCCTCTCCTGTGAAATCGGAGAGACCCTCTTGAGAATCATTTGCGTGCCCGACACGTGTAAATTCGATTTTGTGAAGGCTTTTGTTGTTTGTTTTGGCCATGTTTCATAGTTACTCTAAATTGTCATTTCCTAGGCCAAGTTGATGATGAAGGCATCAACATTAACGGTAGTGTTTCCTCTGATTTTCCTTTAAATAATTTGTAAAACTGTATTAATTTACCTAAAATTTACTTAAAAAAAACCTTTGATTTACTCACCTTCATGTCGTTCCAAATCTGTGATGTTCCTTTATTTAGTGAAACACAAAAAAATATATATCTTAAGCAATGTTAATGAGTTAATGGTGTCCTAAATACTATGGACAAAAAAAGCATTTTTCTAAATGCCTTTTATGTTCTAAAACCTGCCAATGACATCTCTCCATATTGTGTAGTCACAGCGTGGTACAAAGCAAAATTACAGCAAATATTTTTAAATCCTGACGCCTGTGAATTCACAGATGTGTTTTTGTCAGCACACCATCGGGTGTAACAAAATCCTGTCTGACAGCCATTTAGGTCATTTCCTCTATTTAAGACCCCGTATTACAGCTCTCTAAAGGTAAAGGCTGCCCAGCGTGTCGCCTGACGGAATTGGGAATGTCGGGTAATCTAATTAGAGGGCAGGACGGGGGCCCATGGGGCCACAGACTGTGGTGAAGCTGGGAAACACTCGCCCTAAAGCTGCACACCGCAGGCTGGCTGTGGTAATGTCTGAGAGGCTAATTCTTCCTCATGAGGAAAAACAGGACCTTTTCTGGAGGGGACAGACACATCCCTGCTCCGACCACAGAGATAGAGAATCACTGGCCCTTTGTGGAGTGAGTCAGTCTATTCCAGTCAGAATAAGGGTTGTTAGTTTTTACAAGTAACAGAAAAGAAAAAAAAAGTTACACTAAATTTGACCATATTCAGTAAAAAATTATATTTTATTTAATGGGATGATACATGTAATTTGACTGAAGAATTGTGGTTTCGGTAGTGAAAAGTATTATATATTATTATATATATAGTAGAATATGACCGTTGTTTGTTTAGAGTAAAATATAGTTTTTATTCTTCTTTGTCTTTTCTTGGTAAATAACACAAGTTAGCATATGATTTACAATGGAAAAACTGTAAAAAGACCAATTTTATAATTTATCCCCTTGTATTATTATGCACATCATGGTGTTTTGTTATATAATTAGATAATTTATTTGTTTGATGTTTATTGCATTATTGCATTGTTTATTGTTCATATAAAACCAGTTATGATGGCTTTAAATCATTATGTGGCTTTTTATTGTACCACTTGTTTTATAGCAGTTATTTAAAGAAATTATAATGTACAAAGCAGATTTAAAGTTCAGGTAGGTTGGTAGAGTAATTAATTCCTGCTTGAAAAGTCTTAACCAGATTTTTACTATCATTTTAAAATTATATAACATAATAATTGTAAATTTAACAATAGATTGTTATGCTGTTTTTATATATAAATATATATATATATATATATGTCTTGTTGATGTTTATTGCATTATTTATTTTGAAAATATTATGTGGCATTTAATTTGACCACCTATATTATGGCAAGTACATTTCAATGTACATAGAAAATTTAAGTAGATATAGTTCATTCTTGAAAGGTTTTGTCAGCAGATATTTTAAAATGTATTTATTATTATTATTATTATTTTTTTTTACAGTGAACATACTGGGAAAAAACAGTGGACCGGATAGTATAAAAGAAAAGAAAGAGAGCATGAAGC